TAAAAGAAGTAAAGGTAAGCTTTTTCCCCCACCTTTTTAAGCAGTTTTCAAGTCTGTTTCATAGTCTTGATTTGTTCATAAAAAGTTCGGAAATCTCCAAAATTTCGATTTCAATAAAAGACAAGGTAAATTTAACTAAACCTGATATTGTATTGGATTATCTACTGTAGTTATCTTTCGTTTTTCAAGTAAAATTAACCAGAAATCCAAAGCTTAAAAATATCGGTCATGGAAAACTTTGTCGAAGAATCCTCAAAAAACAAAACTAGCCCCTGGGGTGGCTGTGGGTGAGTTGTGTACAAAATTCCTAAGTGGGAGAGCATTCTCGCGCAAGGAAAACGATGTAGTGCATTTTGCTTTGGTTTCAGTGCATGGTTTTTATTATGGGGGACATTATCTTCATTTTCTTGACCATGCTTGTAAATAGCCAACTGGTTTGCCTCCTTGCCAGTTGGGATTCTTAACACAATTTATGTTTCTTTGATCATTTCATTTCAGTTTATTAATTGTAGGAGGGCCATCATGGAAACTACTGGGTTACCAGTAATGTATGTCACCCTCGTTAAATAAAGTCAATTTATTTATTTTATTTTTTATCCTCATCTCGAAAAAAACTTTTTTTTCTCGATTTTAATTTTATCTTCCAGATTCATTCAAATTGGGCTCCCTGTGATTTGCGTATCGGGAGCTCCGCTTTTAGGCAGTGCATTAATATATTAGCGGAGTTCCCACGCGGGCCGAAGAGCACCACACTTGAAAAAATGGCGAACCATCGAGTTGATTTTTCATGGCTTGGCTGATGTCACTTCCGTCCGTCCGTCGTGTACACGACACAGGAATCTCGCTTGGTGTCAAAGCAAAACTACTCACAAATGACAGCTCTGAAATGCAATTAAAACATCGCTTTAGGACAAGTTATAGACCAAAAACAATTAACAAAATGCTTTTATGTAGTCAAAGACGGATCAAGAAGTGTTCTTCAAGAACTCAGGTGTGGTTTTCTTTAGCAAACAATCGTATATTATTTGGTTTTTTTTGACAAGCATTTTTCTCGACGAATCGACAAGTCAAAGACTTTCTCTCAAAACTTTTTATATTTCTATAGATAAGCTTAATTTATTTCAATGCTGGAGAAAATATAGCACGGAGAGCATATTACGACAACAAATGTTCGTCCTTTATTTAGCTTTGTAAATTTTTAACAACTCGGTTGTTTTTAAACAACTATCGTATGTTTTTCGTTTAAGAAAAATGCAGCTTTGCTCGCCTCCTATCGCGGGGTCCCATCGGCAAAATAAAGAAGACTTTCATTCAATAATTTTATATCTTTCTACAGATAATTT